AAAACCAAATTTATACCTAAACATACATACAAAACAAGTAATTTTTTGGGTTAAATATAAAAAGTTAGAAAATAAAAGGGTTGAAACTGATATTTTAAAAGGTTAAAAATAGAAGGACTTAAAATAACATTTTGCGAAATGTTGGAATAAAAAATATCATTTTTGAAAGTTAAAAGAAGACAAGGGGTGGAAAGTATATTTCTCAAAGTTGAGGGGGTGGTAAATATGGTAACACCGACATTACCTTAATGTGGTAGTATAATACCTTTTTAACGTGAAAACCGTAAGATATATAGTTTCACGATCGAAGAACATACGCCTCCCTTTCTTCGTCGCCGAACTTCGGCCACCCACAGCCGCCCTTTCCCTCTCCAGAGAAAGGATTTCAACCGGCCGAGTCACCTTTCACCGGAGCACCGTACCTCACCGTCTTTCCTAGAAGCAGAGTCGTGACTGCTAGCAGCCATGCCTAAACATTACAGGCCTCCAGTAAGTTTCAAACGAAACTTACAAGTAATTCCCTACACGGATGAATATCGTTTTTATGTTGCGTTTTTCACTTGTGGTTCGCAGGGGAAGAAGAAGGAAGGGAACGCCGCCAGATACATCACCAGGTCGCAAGCTGTTAAGGACCTGCAAGTCAGTCTTTCCGTGTTCAGGTATTAATTTGCTTTGAATCTTGGCGTATGTTGTAGATATATAGATGTGTATATATGAGGTGAGATAAGAAGCACAAAAGCTCATTAATGTTTGAATTTACAATCGACGTAGTTAAATGTATATTCATATTGAGTGTTTTGAATGAGGATGTAGAAGGAAGAATTTGAAGAAGTTTTTGTTGTTAAATGTATTGATTTATCTTCAATGAGCGCTTTTGAGATAAGAGGTGAAAAACCCTAGTTTGGAGTGATGATAAGAAGTCCATAACCCTAATTTGATGTCCTTTACTACCATGATCAAGGGTCTTATTGATTTAAAAAGCAAAACATGTAATAATGTGGATTTGAATAGTTACTCTCTTGTGTTGTGTATTTGATAGTTAAATATTTGGTACGTATACAATTCATAAGAGGTTCTATATTTTCAATTGTGTATATATACTCTAATAATCCAAATGTTTTGGTTGTTTTTGATTCAATAGGAAATTATGTATTCTTCAAAAACGTTTTTCCTCGAGACCCAAAGAAAAAAAGTGAAGGGAAACCACCATACCTATTATCACATGAAAGATATTTTGGGTCTTAAACATGACCCACTTCTTGTCAAGTTTCGTGAGGCTAGGACATATGAGAAAAAGAAAAAGAAAGCAATGTCTAAGAAGAACAAAGATCTTGTTGAACGCGTGTCAACACACAAGCCTTCTTACACACTTGATAGGCCTATCCTTGAGAGGTTAGTGTCATTATATATCTAACTTATACAACACTTTTTGTTGCATTTTCCTTTTGACTCAATGAGGACATTACTTAATCCGGTATGCTATATACTATAGTATATAACTATATACCAGTCTTTCTTTTTTACTAAATGCAGAAAGACTTGATAGAAAAGTAAAAAGAAGATTTTCCAATTAAGTCGTAACTTTTTACAAATTTGACTTCAGGTATCCAACATTCATTGATGCATTAAGAGATTTGGATGATGGACTCACCATGGTGCATCTTTTTGCTGCATTACCTGCTATAGAAAGGGAAAACATTCAAGTAGAAAGAATCCATAGTTGTAGAGGGTATGTGTAATGTGTTCCCATATTTTGAATATCTAATTTTATATCTTAATGGTTTATATGTTTTAATTTCTTTAGGTTGAGTCTTGAGTGGCAAGCATATGTCTCTCGCACACATAAATTGCGAAAGGCTTTCATATCTGTGAAAGGCATATATTACCAGGTATAGAAATCATCACATGTATAAATTATA